CGACAACGAAACATGAGACCGTTAAAATCGACCGATGTGGATAAAAATATCGAAAAGCGACGGTTCATATCGCTTCTGGGAAAGCACCGACGCAAAACACTGGACTTACACTCAGCTTTGGAGGAGGCCAGATTCTTCTGGATTAAGACTACTCAAGCGGCATACTTCACGCACGAGATCAAGATGCTCACGGCCAACTCGAGACTACCAACTGCTCACGCATTCAGTCGGTTGACTGCGTATATAGACGCTAAAGGGATCATCCGAGTTGGCGGCCGCCTCAACCAATCAGCGCTATCTCAAGACAACAAACATCAAGCGATTTTGCCTCGCCACGCACGGTTTTCAACCCTGATCATTGCACACGCCCATCTGCGTACCTTGCATGGAGAAACACAGCTGACATTGGCTCATGTCAGACAAAATTACTGGATCATCGGCGGACGGGCTCCGGTGAAGTCTCATATTTTACGGTGTGTCGTGTGTGCTTGGCAGAGGGGGATCCGTGCTCATCAACTGATGGGCCAACTACCTCTCTCTCAGGTTACGCCGTCACGTCCGTTTACTTATACAGGAGTTGACTATGCCGGACCGCTCACCATCAAAACATGGAAGGGACGAGGTGCGAAGACATACAAGGGATGGATCTGTGTGTCCGTCTGCTTTTCCACCTCCGCAATTCACTTCGAAGTAGTCAGTGACTACTCATCAGAAGGATTTATAGCAACCTTTCGAAGATTCTCAGCCAGAAGGGGAATTGCTCAGACCATGTATTCGGATTGCGGGACAACATTCATTGGAGCAGACGCCGCGCTTAAGAAAAGGTTCATCCAGAGTTCCCAAGAACATCAACGAATCACTCAAATTCTACAGCAGGATTGCATCAGATGGGAGTTCAACCCACCAGGCGCTCCACACATGGGGGGCAAGTGGGAGGCGGTGGTGAAATCGGTGAAGTTTCACCTGAGGCGGACTATCGGGGAGACTCTACTCACAACGTAAGAACTTACAACGTTGCTTACGCAAAACAAGGACATTCTCAACTCGCGGCACTTAGAACCGCTGAGTGACGACCCTGAAGACGTCTCAGCGCTCACACCAGGTCATTTCCTCATTGGAGGTCCACTCACTACCATACCCAAGCCATCTCTGATTGACCTAGGAACCTCACAACGATCTCGGTGGCAGCTCATCCAGCAGCATGTTCAACATGTTTGGGCACAAGGGTCGGCTCATTATCTGCAACGCCAGCAGGCGATATCCAAATGACATTATCCTAACAACAACATCAAGATGGGTTCATCGTGCTGTTCACCGACGAACGCTCTCCACCGTGCAAATGGCCACTCGCCAGAGTAACAGCTTTGCACCCCAGCAAGGATGGACTCACCAGGATGGTTACCCTCAAGACAGCCACGACATTCACTCGGCCAAGCGCCAAGCTTGCCATATTACCCATTTCAACCGGAAGAAGGATCAAGAGTAAGGAATCATCAACAAGGTTGCTGATGGCGGGCGGAATGTTCGAGATTCCGTTAACGTTGCGCCGTCCGATCAGATGGCAGCATCGATCGGGTATCGATTCCCGATCACCGCGGCAGCTTGCGCCCGCACGGGCGCACTCGTCGCCAACGTCTTCCTCGCGATATTGTGAGTCGTAAAAATGGCCGCGCAGTGATCAGACGCACAACGTGTGCTCTGTGCATTTTCGATTGTGACTACGCATTGAAGTGCCCACCGCAGTGATTATAACAGCTGCCGAGATACTGCATTAACATGTAAAGCGACCGCTCATCCAGCCCTACTCGGGTACATCAACACGACGACTCAGGCTCACAAGTGCGCGAGTGCCGACCGCCACGTGTCTCACCGGCTCACGGGCGATTCATCGAAGAGGACGGCACTTAATATAATTGCCTTTCATTTACACGGACTATATACACCTCATTTATATACCGCTCATCGATTCTCAGGTCAGATTGTATCAATTTCGACGCATTAAAGACGCATTAAAGACGGCTCAGACTGTGGTCTGAGTTACACAAAATAAAGTGAATATTTAGTTAACACCTTCCACGCGCGTCCTTCTCATCCCGCTTCCATCGCCGGGATTAATCAGCGATTTCGCGAACAAATACACATGTGTCATATCTTTATTAATATTCATTCTAATACTGTAATATAATACTCACAATACGTTACGTTATACTATTACATACATATACTACTGCATACGTTATACTATTACATACATGCATACATACATGCGTACGTTACAAAGGTATTCGGTAATGTCCCCACGGCAACGTATCGGTCGAATCCGGCACGATATATCGCTTATCGTCGTACGGACTCAGAGCGATTTTCGTCTCGCTAATAGTGTACACTTCGTGCATTTTCGATCGTATGCACGACTGCGGTCGAGTCATTTCGATCTCATCGTTCAAACATCGCGTGTAGTCGTCGAACGTGATGGTGCACGCGATGACGTTACTTTTGACACCTTTCGCTTTTTTACAAACTTTTTTGCCATCGACTCGCAAGGCGTACATTTTCGCCCTAAGTCCAACGAATTCGGTCATAATGGCCCCATTGTTTTCATCCTTCATCAGGCCCGGCACTTTTTTATTGACGAGAGGCATATCATAAGCGTTATCTACCGCATAGTCACTTGTGTCGAACCGGGCTATATCATGTTTCATGTTCTCGTACGCGTCGTCGCACTTGATATGATAAATCAAACTGTCCGTGTCGGTATACATGATTCTACACGAGTCGCGGTACAGGGAAGACATGTATTCGTGGTGAAATTCGTACAGGCACACCTTCGACAAGTCGAGAATGCACATGCCGACGTAGATCGGTTTGTCGAATTTCACCTCGAGTTTGCGAAGTTCGATGGCTACCAGATTTTCAGAAAACACGCTACTGCTGTGGAAATTCGGTCGCGCGATCATTGCCTCCGCGCCGTATCTACCCTTCCACGTCGTCACTAATTTTACATCGACGTGGTTTCGTACATTCTCCATTGTTTTTCCAAAAACAGCGTTATTCATTAATTTATATAATGTTTTTTTGAACTCATTTTTTGCCTGTGTCCTGAATTTTGTATTGAGTTCGATGTAAGAGCGGAGCCACTCAGATTGAGCGAATTGCAATACGCGATGTATTTTAGTGACGCGAAGGCCATAACGCTTGCACTGTTGCAGATTGCGATAATGGATGACGTAACGCTCCTTATCGTGCAGCGTGGCGAGAAGTTTGTCCTGCCGTTTGCCGGGCGGTTTATCGCGCATCGGACAAAACGGTAGGTCAGCGTGCGCGTCATGTTTATCCTGCGGATACTCGAGATCGACCTCGAGAATATAGCCCGTAGGCGAATCCAAAGCGATCGCGTTAACGTCGAAATTTGACGCGTCTTCGACCCATCGAAACTCCGCGTAGGGCAGTGGCTTACACATCGCCCAGCCGTACAAGTTGTTGACATCGAAGTACATTAGGTACGACGACGGTTTCGATGAATTGTACGACTCCATATACTTGTTGTTGGCCTTCGCGTATCTGCCGGAACATTGACTCAGCCCGCCACGAATACCACGTTCGACAAACATGACCATGTCAACGTCGGTCAGCAGTTCAAAATTGATACGCGTAAGTTTCAACATGGCGTCCCACGTAAAGCCTGGTAAAGTGTAGTAGTACGCGGGATCAAGTCCGTAACTCGCGACGCAGCTGTCGCGGAAATTTTCAAACACGTCGGCTAAGAGCAAAACATCGGTTTTCAGGTATAGATCGCTGTATTCGCCCAGGGTTCGAACGGAGAATCGCTGCCATACGTTCGCGGCGTGCGCGTAATCGCTCTCGGATACGGTTTCACCGGTCAAGGAACTGTAAAATGAATCGCGCGGCGGTAAAAACGTATCCTCCAGCTTTTCGACGCTGTCCACGTATTCGTATGGAAAAACACCTTTTCGCGTCAATAATTTGAAATCGTTGTCGGATAACGTGGAAAATTTTGAACGTATAATTTTTAATTTATCATTATCTAGGAAGGATGCCAATTTTGCGAGACTCGCGCTAAGAAATTTGTACGAGTTGATAAATCTTAACTGTATATCGTTTCGCGAATCAGATTTTTCCGCGGTGTTTTTCACGTGTTTAGTAAATGAGATGTACTTTTTCTTTGTTATAGGCAGTACATCGATCTTGCCTTCGAACGCGGCAGCTATCTCCTTGATAATAAAGTGCGCGTCATAGCCCGACAGATTGTGAAATATTACTGGGATGAAATGAGAATTCTTATAATTCAAATTGCACGTCGAATATGCTGGACCTCTGTACCGCCCGGTCAGGTGGCAATGATCGCGCACTTTATTATCATCAGGCGCGAATTGTTGTTCGCATATATGACATTTCGTCGCGCTGTGAAATGTCTCCCACTCGTCTCGCGTTAGGTCTACCATGCATGCAATGTCGGACAAGATGTTTTTTACGCGATGCGCCAATCCGTTGAGTTTTTCGACGAACCACGCGACACAGTCGTTATCGCAACGAAATCGATATGTCGATAACGTTTCGTCGTACGAACACTGTACGTAGTATGCTATACTACATACCCGATGATGATGTTGGTAGGCGTATGACGCGTGTTCCGTATCCGGTTGTGTCTTCTGCAGCACGCACTCCAGATCGGCGTACACCACGAAGGGAAGTCGCTCTTTCCTGCTGTGGTTCTTGAAGCTGAGCCACTTGTTGTCTTCGCTCGGTAGTCGGATTGCGCATTTGTTTACCTTTCGACATTCCACGGTGTGGGCTTCCAATTTCATGCTCGAACTAAAGTAGTTGTTCGGGCGCGCAATAAACGCGCCGAACGAATCGCCGAATCCGTTCCACGAGAACGCGAGATAATTGCGAGTGGCTTCGTTCAGCCCTTTAACTATGAGACGACCGGGGTTTCAGTTGAACGCGGACTCGATCGCTTGTTAGGAAGTTGAGTGGAAGGCCCAAAAGACAGCAATTGACTTATAATACATATAAACTTTATTCGGTATAACAAAACAGAACTGACGAAACGCGAGATGTACAGAAAAAATTAGTGCGAATGCACTCGGCGCGCTGTGACTTGTAGCATGCGTAGGTTTAAAGTACGATTTACATAAATGCGCATTGAAACGCGGTAGAAACGGTATCGCGAATGCAGTTGTCGCGGTATGACGGAGTTGCGAAACACGGTCTAACGTTTGATGCCTATACAGAGACGCGGTAGGTATGTACGGCAGGGAGCGACACACCGGGGCCACGACAGCGAGAGGGCTCGCTACGAGACCGAGCGTGCTCGACCCCGCGGAATCGTGATCGTCGGTTGGGTAGGCTGGAGTTCGGGGACACCTGAGAGTACTCAGTCGAGACTCGGAGCACCGAACCTCGTTTTATGTGTCGCCCTAGGAAGTTGGATAGGGTAGGCTTCGTCGAAGGCAGCAGAGAGCCGGAGATAAGACGAAGTGCCTGCTCCTGTCGGAGCGCCGGCTTATATACCGCGGCGCGGCGGGTTCGTTGGAAGGGAGGCCGGCGGTCGGGCGAGCCGCGTGGGGATGCTGACGCGCGCTCGCCTTCGGCGCGGCTCGGCTTTTTCCGGCGGTTCCGAACTTATCGAGCATTTCGCGTGAGAAGCAAACGAAACGTATATCGCAGTACATATATATAATTTTTACATTACTAAATTGGGGGAATCCCCAACAGTAGTGAAGACATCTGCAAAAATGAAACACAAATATTATAAATTTTTTTACAAAAAAATATATAATGATATATATTATTAATAAAAATATAGGTATTTACCGATCGCAAAAGTACTTTGTATGTCCATGTTTATTAATTTGTGAGCACACGAGGCGGGATAGATGTTTAATCCACGCGAAATGTCCAACATTGTCGTCTCGTGGGTCCTGCATGTACAACAGATTCACATGTTTTTTATCAATCGTGCGGTCGGTAAGCCGTATCGGGAGAACGTTTGAAGTCTTCTGTCCCTCGATGATATAGACATTGACGGATATATCGTTGAGTCGTTTGAACTGTTTAATTTGCCTCAACGTCATTGAGAACTCAATGTCTCGTAAATTCAGTACCGTTGAATAATGCGGGTATGAAGATTTCCGTTCTGGATGTTTTTCGGCTGGATGCAAAGCAGCCGTCACGGCCCACGCAAAACACGCATTGTCCATAGACAGCACATTGATCACCGCGTGCTTCAATTTAATGTCTTTAGGCAATTTTATGTGACACCCCGCGCGCAAAGGATTGTACTTGTTGACGCTCACCGTCAAATTGAAGATTCGAGTCAACGCCCAACCACTGTCGCGTTCCTGGAACTCCTCGAGTTTCGCTAATGTGGGCTCGATAACGTGTAGCTCGTACCACTCGCGCAAGTGCGATGTATCACAGAGTTCTATGTTATTTGTACATATACTCTTATTGGCACGTTTATCACCCGCCACAAACTCCCCGTTGAACGCGGTGTTCACTTTGACACAGTTATGTGTTTTTATACTGTCTCGCACTCGCTTGCACACGACGCTGCAGGCGTCTTCCAAAAACTGTCGCGGTTCTATATGGTCTGTATTAATTACCGCACCGGTCATTATACGCTTTTTGAACCCGGCGTCGATTTCTCGCCATACGAGTTCTGTCGCGCGCGTGTAGCCACTGGTACTGGCGTTCGCATAATCACCACCGCTATGGATAAATTGTCTTTCCAATCGCAACTTCACACCCTCGAGTCGCGCAATTCTGGCAACCAACGATTGCCTTTGCCCGATCGTTGGATTGTCGGAGAGCCGCTGACGTTTGGCACTACAGCGTGTCTCGAGCTGCTCGACGAATTCCGCGCATTGCAGCGCCCATGTAAAAAATTCATCCACGGTAGCTACTTGGTCGGACAGCTCCAATAGATCGCGTTCGGTTTGCTCGAATTGATCCATGTTTTATCTACTCAGATTTAGGTTGTTCATCAGATTCAGGTTGTTCATCACCACGAAGTCGACAACTGTAGTCGCCCAATAGCGATACTTCATTAGATATCAATGGTTTATATGGTAATAGCGTTGCAGACACATATTGTTCATCACCATCATACCAACCACTACTTTGACACATTTCCCATTGCCACTTCCCAATAGTGACACTCCTTATACTCGGACCTAAAGTCAGGTTTATTGTAAAAGGAAAGGGTTTTGTCACAGATGAAGCTGTATGAGCTTTATCCTCGTTCCGCGTCTGTATGTACATTCTCCATTTTGAGCTTTCGTAATAGTTATTATTATATCCGAAATCCTTGATAACAACTCCTTGTCTATGAACAATGCGTTTATCGGTTCCTCGTATCCCGAGTTCGCGATCGCGAACAAAGTGCGCTAGTGAGTTTCGTTGCACATCCGTCGATTTTCCTCCTCGATCTTCTTCACGCAAAGCTTTGGCGATATCATCTAATAAAGCTTCATTATAAAAAAAATGATCGAAGTATATAAAGTCACTACTTTCTTCGATTTCATCGATGTCAATTTTATAGTCCGGTGTCCATGGGCGATTACATGTCATTTCTTCTTGCTCAATGTTATAACAAAATAATTTTCACGTCGCAACCGATGTATCACTCTCAAATCGTATGCTAATGTGGCTCGATGCACTTCATCCCTCATTATATATACCTTTGCCCTCTCTCTCGCTCCAGTTGATAGATCATTTCTTCCTTTGTCTCGCGTACTGCGTCGTAAAAAATGGCGCAAAATTGTTTAGTCTACGCGATAACACCCCCCTTTTCCTAGAAAACATTTGCTCACGACGAACATGTCCCTACAGGTTCGATGCGTTATCGGGTCGATCATCGTCCCGATGACGTCATTTCTTTATTTGTTTTTTTTCACGTACTGCGTAGATGGATTGTTTTTTTAAGTATAAATCATACTATATTTTCTTCGCGCGCATTTTTATTCGAGCCGTATATGCGACGTCCGCTGGAGCATCGGTTGCACGAATTGGTAATCAAATATTGCATTATCGCATATCATAACATAGAAGCGAGGTGCCGCGAAGTTCCGGCGGACCTCGGCGCTCGCCTTTGTAGTGCGAGATATATTTTGTCTTACGACTATCAGTTTTATACACCGCCATTATATTTTTTTCTCTGGCGACTTCTGCAACCGTTTTCCGCTTTCTTCACTATTATTAAGTATAATAATAATAATATTTTAAATAATAATAATTATTAAGTTAAATCCGCGCAAGGAAAAGAAAACGCCAACGAAAAGACGCGCGCGAACGGGAGAGAGACAAAAGAACGGGAGCGAGAGAGAGACTGCGCTGAGGGAAAGACAACGCGAACGAGACGCAGGCGAGCCGTGTGACGGCACGCGGACCGACGTGGCCGTTGGACGCGGACCCCCATCCTCCCGCGGCGCGCCGCCGATAAAATTTCAGCAGCCGAACGGCGCCCGTCGCCTTTGTAATACCCCGCGCCGATAAAGTGACGACCCCCCTCCCCCCCCAGACCACCTTTGGCGTAGAACGCGGACACCCCCCCTCGGCGGTACCCTTGTTAACGATATGTTTATTAACATTTAATAAACATGTCCCGACATGCTCGCCGACCACCCCCCCCCTCCCGGCGGACCACCCGTGCCCTCGAGTCCCACCCCTTCCCCGCGGACACCCTTGCCCTCGAGTCTCCCAGGTATTCAACCAAAAATTTTATGCGACTTAACCGTCGCGGTCTCTCTTCTTTATTTTTTTGTCTAGGAAAACTATCTAAGGAAGGAAATAAATAATTATTATAATTATTTAATATTTTTTTCTTTTTATTTTAAGAAAATTTTAAAAAAAATTCCGAGATATACGAGGTAAAAAAAGAGAAACAATAAAACGCCGAAAAAGAAAGTTGGCCTGGGAGTCTCTCGGAGACCCCCGCTGTGCATGCTAGGGTTAACCGCCGCAATGTCCTCTTCAGACATGTTTTTTAGGGCAATTTATTGAGGTTTTTTTTGGTGAACATGTGGGTCACAGGTTCACTGGGTCACGTTTTTGCGGCGCCATTCGATTATGACGTCGCGCGTTATTTCTTTCTTTCTTTTTTTTCTTTGTCTTCCTCTCGAAAAGGACCGTTTTCTCGTTCGCGTTCTCTCTCGCGCGCGTTCTCTTTTTCTTATTCATTAATTGGACTACATGCTCTTCTCTAAAAACTAATTTTTTAAATGTATTAAATATGTATTTAACCATGCCATAAGAATTTTAATACTTCAAAAAATCAACATATTTTTTAAAATAAAGAAGACTAATAATGCAGCTTATATTTAAGTATCTGAAAATATTCTTTAATCTACATAATTATGTATCACAAATATTTTGATGATTTGTAAATAATGTAAATATATTTTATTATATATAATGAAACTATCTAAGGAAGGGAGAAGGAAGGGAAATAAATAAATATTATAATTATTTAATTTTTTTTTGTATTTCAAGAAAATTTATAACACAAAAATTAAAAAAATTTATAAGTGCAATATATCTGGAGGATCTTCACCTGAAACACACAAATGCAATAATATGATTAATATGATTAATAAAAAATTCAATATTTTTTTATTGAAAAAGCGATTATCTTACAAGTATTCATTTTCCTCCTCCGACGAGGTATCTTCTCCGAAGAGTCTTCGCAACGAATCGATTTGGCAGTCGTACCATTCTTTGCATGCACGCTTCTCATCTTGCATCCAGCGCATATATGCAATATTAACAAAGCCCGGTATCACATGACTCATCCTCAGCTGTA